AACGAGGTTCAAGGAACTTACCAGTTGAGGGCAGGGCCAACTTCTTCGAGCACAAATGCAAGGAATGGTAGGGACGAAGTTTTGTTGGGGATGCTTAAGCTCTGAAACGTCGAAGACTTGAAGAAAGGCCGTAGGAATAAAAGGAAGCAAGAAGGGGCATGTTTATAGAGGGGAAGAAGCCGCCCAAATTCAAATTTGAGGGGACGGTTGGGTTGGCTGCTCGAGGGGCAATAAGAGATTGACACGTGCCCCCGTTAATGGCAGCGTCAGAGTTGAAAAGACAGGAAGGCCTGACGAGGCGTCGACCGAGTGAATTACGGAGCCAAGCAAGAAAACTAGCTCGGTTGACTTCTTGCAAAATCGAAAGACCGAGGAAGCGTTACTCGGTCAGGATAAATAATCCCAGTCACGCTTGCGCAGACGGAATTAAGGGGCAGTTGAGAGGGAGATTTATGAGCCGAAAGTGGGCCGAGATAAAAGCCGAGCAATTTGAAGGCCCAAGGGCGTGTTGGGCCGAGATAATTTAGGACTTTCCCGGAGTTGGGGCCGCTCGGCCCGTGGCCGAACTACTCGCACCGGTGGTGACCGTGCAACTTGCGTTACTCGACCAGAAGGCATACGCCTTTGGCTCGGCAGGGAAGCTCGTGCCAGAAGCTCGGCAGGAAAGCCTTTGGTTGATCGACGTGACCTTTCCGGAGCTCGACTTCGCCGGAATGCAGTCGAGCACGATAGGGACGGAGCTCAGCTATTGCTACACTTGGGCATGAAGTGCAGCCTGGATGTTGGCGACCGTGATGTTGTACTCCGGTTGCCGAGCTCCCAGCAGAGTGGGTTGGCGGTTGGGTTAGGTAATGTACAGCAAGATTTGTGTTGACAGATGGGATAGCAGCACCACTTGTCGAGAGACGAATGGGAGTAGATTTGGTGCGCAGAAGGTATACAAGCGGGTTTGCGCCCCCCATGCCTAGACAGATGACACAATTAGGTGAGAAAAACACAACTTAGTCCTCTCTCTCTCTCTCTATCCCTGTGTGTGTGTCTAACTTGCTCGTCGGAGGGGTTTTTCGGCCACACACCGCGCCGGGTAGCTCACCACCGTTGTGCTCGCAGGTCAATCGGACAGGCAGGAGCTTGGAAGAAAGGAGTGCGGGCTTGCCTGAATATTTGCTCCCCGCACAGATATATATATTATATATTTATTTCATGTTTTATATATTTACTCAATATATGTTAGATTCATTTTAATTAATTAAAAAATGATGGAATTCATTTGAAAGCTTTGTAAATCTTTTTTTTTTGGTAAATATAAGCTTGATATAGAATAAATAGCTAGTACAAGATAGTTCTGGGATATAGAATCCCCATAGCATCATACGTAACCATCTGAGAAATAAAAGAAGATGGAGGGTAGGAGAAAACATGAAAATTCCCATCCATCATAAGTAGCCCATAATTTGGCTAGCGCATCCGCACTTTGATTTGCTTCCCTGAAAATGTGTTTAACAGTTGGTGATCCGAGGTTGTCCAGGAGGAACCTGCAGTCATGAACAATATTGCTAAGGTGGTGTTGGTCATTGCAATTAGTTAATACCATGTGCACAAGAGTGAGAGCATCAGATTCAACTTCAATTGGAGTAAGTCCCATTTCAAGAGCCAAATTGAGACCATCCCTAAGGGCCCAAAATTTAGCAGTTAGACTGTTGGTTTTGCCCAGAAATCTGCAGAAGCCCGAGACCCAATTGCCATGGTTGTCACGGATGATACCGCCTGCGGCTGCATGATGTTCATTTGCCGCGCCATCGATGTTAAGTTTGAAGCAAGGAAAGGGGGGTGGTTTCCAACTACAAGCAATGATTTTAGTGGCACGGGGTTTGGTGGTGTAGGAAAGGTGATACCACTCGGTGGCTAGAGCAATGGTCCAGGTAGGTTTGAGTGGGTTTGGGGGAGTCGGCTCGAAGCAGGCAGAGTTTCAATTTTTCCAAATGGTCCAACAAGCAAGGGGAAAGACAATGGCCCAAGGAATTGAAGATGAGTGAGGCTCAGTGGAGAGGCAGTTGGTTTTGAGCCATTCCATTGAGCTAAGGTTGAAAGAAGGTGAGACCTTAGTGGGGATAATGAGTGAGTCCCAAAAACTTATCGCAGAAGTACAGTCTCTCAAGTCATGGAGGGTTGTTTCTGGAGATGACCCACAAAATTGGCAAGAACTAACCGAGGTGATGTTTCTAGAATGTAGGAGGTCTTTGGTGGGAAGACGTTGTCTAAGGTTGAAAGAAGGTGAGACTTAGTGGGGATAATGAGTGAGTCCCAAAAACTTATCGCAGAAGTACAGTCTCTCAAGTCATGGAGGGTTGTTTCTGGAGATGACCCACAAAATTGGCAAGAACTAACCGAGGTGATGTTTCTAGAATGTAGGAGGTCTTTGGTGGGAAGACGTTGTTGGAGGGCTTGCCAAATGAAATGGGTCACTCTCGGTCTGGTAGGGAGTTTCCAAACCCAATGCCAACTGGATAAGGGAGGGGTGGTGGAGAAGTTTTTGGAAAGTAAGTACGTAGAACTGTTTGGGAAAAGGCCATCGGGGGAGTGAGTCCAAGAGGTCGTGTCAGGTGCAAGTCCAAACCAACACGGCGTGATAGTTTGAATTTGGGAAAGCATGTTTGGTGGGATTGGTATGGACAGTTTATTAAAATTCCAATGAGTTGAAATCCAGCAATCGCGGACTGTGAGAGTAATTTCCTCGCAAGTAAGGGGGCCTTCCACTAGGTGACACAGAGGGCCAAGGTTGGTCCAATTGTCGAACCAGAAGCTAGTAGTAGACCCACTTGTAATGAGGATTTTGGTTCCTTTGTCAAAGAGGTTTTTACCTTTAAGGATATTTCTCCAAATGGGAGAGGCGCGCCTTCTAGGATTGGGATTATTTGGATATTTGGCTTTGAGAACTCTAATCCACAGTGACTGGTTATCATTTGCTAGACGCCAATTTAAATTGGCCATGCACACTTGATTGACTAAGAGGGTTTGTCTGATTCCTAGACCACCAAGATGGTTGGGTTTGGAGACATTCTCCCAATTCACAACGTGGAGTTTCGTTTTTTTCGGCGTCGATCCCCACAGGATGTCTCTGTTAAGCTTGTCAATGGTTTGGATGGTTTTCTTCGGAAGGAAGTTGGTTTGCATGATATAGGAGGGAATGGCAGCATTAACAGATTTTATGAGGGTAGTTCTGCCTACCGGAGAAAAAAGTTTGGCTCGCCAACCAGTGAGTTTGTTCTGGATCTTCTCAATGATGAAATTGAAAGAATTGGCATTTGGTTTATCATGATGGATGGGCCAACCCAAGTATTTGCCAAGGTGCAAGGTATGGGGGATTTGGAGTTGGTTAGCAAGCATGGAGCGGGTTTGGTCATCCACATTGTTTGAGAAAAAGACTTTGGATTTGGTGGAGTTAATATGGAGTCCCGACATCTCGCAGAAATTTTGAAGGGTGTTGGCTATGGTTTGACAGGTTCAGGTGTTTGCTGCGCCAAAGAGGATAAGGTCATCGGCGAAGAAAAGGTGTGATAGGGATGGGCCACCTCGGGACACTTGTATGGGTTTCCACATTTGGAGGTTGCAAGCGTGGGTGATAGAGAGTGAAAGGTATTCCAAGCATAGGATAAAAATGTAGGGTGAAAGGGGATCACCTTGACGAATACCTCGGGAGGGTTGAAAGGTTTCAGTTGTACCACCATTAAACAGGATTGCAAATGAAGAAGAGAGATGCAAGAAACGATGAGATCAATCCAGAGTTGGGGGAAGTTGAAAAAATGGAGGACTTGTCGGATGAAATCCCATTCAAGCCTGTCATAAGCCTTTTCAAGATCAATTTTAACGAGCATGTGACCAACTTTACCTTTTTTTGACTTGAAACTGTGAACGACCTCTTGGACTATGATGACATTGTCACTGCCCTTTCGGCCAGGGATGAAACTAGTTTGGAAAGGGCTGATTAGATCATTTAGGAAGGGTCTGATGCGGGCCACTAAAATCTTGGTTATGAGCTTAAAAATGGTGTTGCAAAGGCTGATGGGACGGAACTGTGAAACGGATTCAGGGTTGGCTGTTTTGGGAATAAGGCAAAGGAAGGTGTGATTGAGGGTGGGGTGGATATGGGCTGTGGAGAAAGCTTCTATAACCAAGGAAGAGACCGATTCACCTATGATGTCCCAGCATTTTTGGAAAAAGATGGGATACAGACCATCTGGGCCGGGGGATTTCTATGGGCCAAAGGACCATAATACCTTTTTAATTTCTTTGGCTGAAGGGCTGGCAGTGAGAGAGGGGTGTGAGGAGGAGTCTATGGTGGGGAAGCAAAACACAGGGTTAGACAAAGAGAGAGTGGTGGCACAGCGGGAGGTAGTGAAAAGGTTGGAGAAATATTAGACTAGGATGTTTTTAATCACAGGGGCCTCATACGTCCAAATGCCAGAGGTATCTTTCAGAGCTGAAATGGAGTTGTTCCGACGACGATTAATGGTGGTGATGTGAAAAAATTTGGAGTTTCGATCGCCTTCGAGGATTGTATTAACTCGGGATTTTAGAGCCCAAAACTCTTCCTCAAGCTTGAGGGTATGGTTCAGTTCACTGGTGAGGGCTGTTTCAAGCTCAAGAAGGAAGGGGTAGGACTGGTGGTCGAGGGCTTTCTGGACTCCAAGCAGTCGTCTTTCCAGTCTTCTTTTTTTAAGGAAGATGTTACCGAAGCAAGTTTTATTCTAGATGGAGACTTTGGAGGTGAAAGTGGCCACACTACGGAGGAAGGATGAGGGGTATTGGGCCTAGCTGTCACGAACAACTGAAAAGAGGGAGGGATCCGAGAACCAAATGGTTTCGAAACGGAAGGGACGGTTGACATTGTTGCTAGGTAGGGGGTGGGTGTTAAGGAGGATATGGCAATGGTCTGAGTGAATGCAGGGTAAGTGGAGGATTTTAGTTTCGGGGAAAAGAAATTGCCAATCATGGTTACTCTAAGCTCTGTCCAGTCTTTCCCGAATGAGTGCTCCAATATTTCTGAGGTTTGTCCAAGTGAACTTTGGGCCAGAGAAGCCCAGGTCTAACATGCCACAGTGGTCCATGCATTCTTTGAATTTGAGGGCTCTAGAGAGGTTGATAGGTCTACCTCCAAATTTGTCTAGACTGGTTAGTAATTCATTGAAATCACCCATTATGAGCCAGGGAGTATTATGGGAATCAGCCAAGGAGGTAAGGTTTTCCCATAATAGTCTCCTAGAATTGAATGTAGGACTAGCATAGATAGCTGAAAAAAGCCACGGAGAAGGTATAGAAGAGACCTGAATCCAAGCATGGACCTCATGTTGAGTCTGAGCTATGATGTCACAGTGGATTTCCAGATCATTCCAAAGCAACCAGATTCCTCCAGCAAAACTATGTGTTTCCACAATGTGATACTTGGAGAAGCCCAAGTTTAGACATAGAGCAGCACCTCTACTGCCACCAACTCTAGTTTCAGTGAGCACTACTAGTTGAGGACGATAATCTACCATGAGGTTATTGAAATGCCTTCGAAAATGTGGATTTGTAGTCCTTCGACAATTCCACAGCAGAACTTTCATGGGAGTGTTAAAGAGTGGGAGATGAGGAAGGTCTACTTCCGTCTGAGTTAGAGGCTTGTTGTTTTCGTCGATCCATTCCAGACCCAGCGTAGTTTGTAGTGTCTCCTTCAAGAATGGTATCACTCTGACGTGGTGATCCAACCCCAGTACTCTTGCATTGTGCAAGATCGCACGATAACGCGTAGTCTGCTCAAGTTTGGTTCCGCTACCGGCTTTTCTGCCATGTAAAGTTGGCCCTTTAGAATAAAGTCTCGGGGGTGATTTACAAGGCAATGAGAGTCCAGAAGGGGGAGAGGTGGAATGGGTAGTAGAGTTTCCGAGATGATGTGGGTGTAAACGGGTTGGAGATTTGGGAGGAGGTTCAGTGAGGGGGTGATGATCTGGTTTAGTTGGATGGTCTGGGGGGGTTGGTCGGAGAGATGAGTGTAAGGAGTTGAGAGAAAGGTGACAATAACAGTTTGCTGGTTACGGAGATGGGGTGGGAAGGGGAGGGATTGTGAGAGGCTCATCCAGATGTTGAAAATGTCTGGGTCGAACCAACCCAGGATGAAGGAGGGATCTCGACGAATCTCCTCGATCAGACGGTCATCCACACCAGAGTAGTGGTTGTTCACCCTCATGTACCAGCCTGGAATGGGTTGTGCCTCTTGGTTCTCCAGTCTGAAAGGGATGAGAAGGTCGGGGTAGGGTGGGTTGGGTGGGATGGTAGGTGTGCTGGTGAGGGTGGGGTTCCTGAGGAGAGTCGATCTGCGGTTTGGGTGACGACGAGTCATGGTCAGAGGGAGAGGAGGGGGGGATAAGAGAGACGTGAGAGGTTCTGAGGACTTGTTTTTAACGTTGGAGGGGCTAGACTTTAAAGGTGGTGGTGAGAGATGATTTGGTTGTGGGATAAAAAAAAGGTTATGAAGAGGGTTTTGAGAGGGACGAATGACTGTTAAAAGGCTGAGAGGCAGAAAAATTACAGTCTGAAAAATGCTGAAAAGGCGTGATGGAAGAGACGTTAACGACGGGGCAGACTGGAGGTTCAGACGGGTTAAGTAAAAGGGGTAGTTTAGGGGGGGTACGGTGGATAGGTTTTAGAGACAAAGGTGATATTGATTTGGACGAGGAAAGGGTAGAGGTTGACGGGGGGATAGGTGATGGGACAGGGCTCTGAAAATTTTTCTGCCCATTAGAAGAAAAGCTGGTCAAGGGTTGGGGAGATGGGCCAAGAATGGATATAGTAGGGTTAGCTAAAAGCTGAAATGAATTAGAAATAAAAAGGTTTGACTTGGAGCCGTCTGAAGCCGTCTACATTACAGCTGGAGGAGCAGCCGCAGCAGGACGGCCAGAGGTGACGTGGACCTGCGGAAGGGGTTTGGGCGCCAAATTTGAATCAGGCATCTTCTTCCTCCAAACTTTAGGGTTTAGATGCAGTGACGTACCAACCATGGCAACTCTACCGGCACCGGATTTAACTGACTTTGAGGTTTTTTTCCGATCAACAAGCATCCAGGGCCCAAACTCAGAAAGAAGAAGAGAGGGAGGTGTGGGTTTCTCAGCTGTGGAAGAAGCCTTACTGGAAACCTTGCAGTCATCCAGACTATGACCAACTATGCCGCAGTTGAAACAGATGGCTGGAAGTCCTTCATAGGTTACTTGTTGGGTGATGTTTCCTACTTTGACATCTGGACTCCAAGCAGTCGTCTTTCCAGTCTTCTTTTTTTACGGAAGATGTTACCGAAGCAAGTTTTATTCCAGATGGAGACTTTGGAGGTGAAAGTAGCCACACTACGGAGGAAGGATGAGGGGTGTTGGGCCCAGCTGTCACGAACAACTGAAAAGAGGGAGGGATCCGAGAACAAAATGGTTTCGAAACGGAAGGGACGGTTGACATTGTTGCTAGGTAGGGGGTGGGTGTTAAGGAGGACTGGGCAGTGGTCTGAGTGAATGCGGGGTAAGTGGAGGATTTTAGTTTCGGGGAAAAGAAGTTGCCAATCATGGTTACTCCAAGCTCTGTCCAGTCTTTCCCGAATGAGTGCTCCAGTATTTCAGAGGTTTGTCCAAGTGAACTTTGGGCCAGAGAAGCCCAGGTCTAACATGCCACAGTGGTCCATGCATTCTTTGAATTTGAGGGCTCTAGAGAGGTTGATAGGTCTACCTCCAAATTTGTCTGCACTGGTTAGTAATTCATTGAAATCACCCATTATGAGCCAGGGAGTATTATGGGAATCAGCCAAGGAGGTAAGGTTTTCCTATAATAGTCTCCTAGAATTGAATATAGGACTAGCATAGATAGCTGAAAAAAGCCACGGAGAAGGTATAGAAGGGACCTGAATCCAAGCATGGACCTCATGTTGGGTCTGAGCTATGATGTCACAGTGGATTTCCAGATCATTCCAAAGCAACCAGATTCCTCCAGCAAAACCGTGTGTTTCCACAATGTGATACTTGGAGAAGCCCAAGTTTTGACATAGAGCAGCACCTCTACTGCCACCAACTCTAGTTTCAGTGACCACTACTAGCCGAAGACGATGATCTTCCATGAGGTTATTGAAATGCCTTAAAAAATGTGGGTTTGCAGCTTCTCGACAATTCCACAGCAGAACTTTCATGGGAGTGTTAAAGAGTGGGAGATGAGGAAGGTCCACTTCCGTCTGAGTTAGAGGCTCGTTGTTTTCGTCAATCTATTCCGGACCCAGCGTAGTTTGTAGTGTCTTCTTTAAGAATGGTATCACTCTAACGTGGTGATCCAAACCCCAGTCTTCTTGCATTGTGCAAGATCGCACGATAATGCGTAGTCTGCTCAAGTTTGGTTCCGCTACCAGCTTTTCTGCCATATAAAGTTGGCCCTTTAGAATGAAGTCTCGGGGGTGATTTACAAGGCAATGAGAGTCCAGAAAGGGGAGAGGTGGAATGGGTAGTAGAGTTTCCGAGATGATGTGGGTGTAAACGGGTTGGAGATTTGGGAGGAGGTTTAGTGAAGGGGTGATGATCTGGTTTAGTTGGATGGTCTGGGGGGGTTGGTCGGAGAGATGAGTGTAAGGAGTTGAAAGAAAGATGACAATAACAGCCTGCTGGTTACGGAGATGTGATGGAAAGGGGAGGGATTGTGAGAGGCTCATCCAGATGTTGAGAATGTCCGGGTCGAACCAACCCAAGATGAAGGAGGGATCTCGACGAATCTCCTTGATCAGATGGTCGTCCACACGGGAGTAGTGGTTGTTCACCCTCATGTACCAGCCTGGAATGGGTTGTTCCTCTTGGTTCTCCAATCTGAAAGGGATGAGAGGGTCGGGGTAGGGTGGGTTGGGTGGGATGGTAGGTGTGCTGGTGAGGGTGGGGATCCTGAGGAGAGTCGATCTGCGGTTTGGGTGACGACGAGTCATAGTCAGAGGGGGAGGAGGGAGGGATAAGAGAGAGGTGAGAGGTTCAGAGGACTTGTTTTTAACGTTGGAGAGGCTAGAGTTTAAAGATGGTGGTGAGAGATGATTTGGTTGTGGGATAAAAGAAAGGTTATGAAGAGGGTTCTGAGAAAGGGACGAGTGACTGTTAAAAGGCTGAGAGGCAGAAAAATTACAGTCTGAAAAATGCTGAAAAGGCGTAGTGGAAGAGACGTTAACGACGGGGCAGACTGGAGGTTCAGAGGGGTTAAGTAAAAGGGGTAGTTTAGGGGGGGTACGATGGATAGGTTTTAGAGACAAAGGTGATATTGATTTGGACGAGGAAAGGGTTGAGGTTGACGGGGAGATGGGTGATGGGTGATGGGACAAGGCTCTGAAAATTTTTCTGCCCATTAGAAGAAGAGCTGGTCAAGGGTTGGGGAGATGGGCCAAGAATGGATGTAGTAGGGTCAGCTAAAATCTGAAAAGAATTAGAAATAGAAAGGTTTGACTTGGAGCCGTCTGAAGCCGTCTGGATTGCAGCTGGAGGAGCAGCTGCAGCAAGACGGTCAGAGGTGACGTGGACCTGCAGAAGGGGTTTGGGCGCCAAATTTGAATCAGGCATCTTCTTCCTCCAAACTTTAGGGTTTAGATGCAATGACGTACCAGCCATGGAAGCTCTACCGGCACCGAATTTAACTGACTTTGAGGTTTTTTTCCGATCAACAAGCGTCCAGGGCCCAAACTCAGAAAGAGGAGGAGAGGGAGGTGTGGGTTTCTCAGCTGTGGAAGAAGCCTTACTAGAAACCGGTCATCCAGACTATGACCAACTATGCCGCAGTTGAAACAGATGGCTGGCAGTCCTTCATAGACAACTCGTTGGGTGATGTTTCCTACTTTGACTTTAGAGATCAGGGGTTTGGAGAGATATATTTGGATGCATAGTCTAGCAAAACGGCCTCTAGCCCCATTCTCAGTGAAAATATCAATATTTAGTAGCTTACCCAGACTTGCACCAATCTTACAAAGGATGGAACCATCAAAAAATTCAATGGGGAGACCAATGAGGCGTGCCCAGACCACAGTGGTGGTATTAGATGCTGTGGTGGCTTGAAACTCAGGTTCCCACCGTCGAACGGCTAGATAATGGGGGCCAATGAACCACGGACCACCGTTGAGAATTTTGCTGATGTCGATATCCAGTTGGAACTTGATGAGGTAGAAATGGTTACCAAGATCTAGCCCATGCAACGTCCCAGTGGGTTTCCAGAGTGCTTTGATTTTCTCCATGAGCAACTTATAGCCCAGATTTTTACCCATGAGACAGATAATCAAAGAGTTGACCCATGGAGATTGAATCCGTCGTACCTCCTCAGGAGAAACAGAGATGGCAGGTACTTCATCTTCATCTACCAGGTCCGTCGGGGAGGAAGCGTCCACGGACAAGACAGCAGGAACCTCCTCCAACAAAAGCGGGGATGCGAGTGCCTCCTTGAAAGAAAGAGGAGGTTTAGTTGGTGTACCTTGATTCTTGAAGGTTTTTAGTTGGTTTCTTTCTAGTAAGTCTTGCTCTTCTGTAGATCGTTCTTCGTCGTGCCCATCTAGTTGTGCTGTGGATGTGTTGGTTGCTGTGGAATGATCCGTTGCCGCCGATCCATCAAGCTCGCCCTTATCAGGATCGCCCATGCTTTCATGCCCTTTTTTTTTTCTCTCTAAACATAACCCTTTGTAAATCTATTTCCATATGTAATGACCTCAAAAGTGATTGATACTTTCATATGAAAGCTTTAAAATGATAGCTTTTATTGGGGGAAGGAAATGACTTGTATGTCCTTTTCTTTATAATTTGTTCCACCAACCCCAAAAAAGGAGCCACTGAGTTATGTGGCCACATAATAGTAAAATATATACTTATCTTGTTAGAAAAATAGAGGATAAGCCAATTAGATGCCCTTACTCACTTTAAGGTGATCAATGAATTTAGTTATTTGGAGGTGCTCAAATGGTGTTCACAGCACAGAATTTTTATCAGTTAATATTCTCACAGATTTTCAAGTGTTGCTATGGAGAATCAAAACAAAGAAGGCGGTAGAATGGAAATTATACTCTATTTGGAATGATATTAGTTATCTTTGTAGTAGTTTGGATCATGTATGTATTACTAAGGTAAATAGAAAGGATGTTTAGGCTGCCCATGAAGTTGGACGTAGTTCAAGTCTGAACTACGTTTTGTATGTGTATGGAATTGTATGTTGCTTTTATTATTAGAATGAATGATCTCAATTTCTTCAAATAAATAAATAAAATAAAGAGTTAATTAGCAAAAAGTCCTGTTTACATATTTGGTGGTAGTTTAGGTCGTGTCAAAAAGTTTTTGAACCAATAAGTCTCATTTATAAGTAAAAAGACGTTTTGCTCTTTAATCCCAAAACTGAGAATGTTCTCAATTTCAAAACTGAGAATATTCTCAATTTTCAAACAGAGAATGATTTCAATATATAATTATCAAAATTAAAAAATTTATGTTTGGCTTCTGAGAAAAGTATGGGATTGAAAAGAAAGATAATTCTGCGAATATTCTAAGAAATTTATAATTATCAATTTTGAGAAATTTCTCAATTTTTTCATGATTAAAATTGAGAATATTATAAACGGAGAAGGTTCTCAATTTTAAAAAACTCTCTCTCTCTCTCTCTCTCTCTCTCTCTCTCTCTCTCTCTTTCTCTCAATCTCCTAATTGGTTCTCTCGTCTCAGCTATTCACTTTCTCTCTCTGATTGAAAAACTAAATCTGGAGCTTCTAATTGAAGCTCTCTCTCTCTCTTTGTGCGTGCAATAAAATCAATCATCAGCCATTTTTATGGTTGTTAATGGCCGAAACAGAGCAATAATGGACTCATGAGAGAGACCCCATCGCACTGCCAGCACAAGCAGTACCAGCGAACTCTTCATCTGCTTCACCTCTCGCCTCTCCTCTTCTTCTTCCCCGTCCATGAAGATCTCTTCTAAGTCAATCCTCAGCCCCGACCGCGCTCGTGGCGCACCCGTCTCTCTCCCCAGCTCTCTCAGCCGCCGACTCAAAACAAACGGCAGCCTCAAAGGCGGCCAATCTCCCATGTTCCCCACCGGAACCAAGAAACAAGGCTGCGCTGTCGAAAACCCAGAGCCTTCTTCTCCCAAAGTCACCTGCATTAGGCAAGTTCGAGTGAAGACGAAGAAGATGAGGGGGTTTGCATGGGTAAATTGGTCTATTAAAAATTAATGGGACTTGAAGGAACAAATAATTTTATCTAGGACCTAATGGAGTATAAGTTCACAAAATGGGACTTGTATGTAAATGTCCCTAAAATAAACTTAGTTGTTCTGTAGACATGCCAAGTGATTTATAAAATCAATAATCAGATGGTTGAGTCAGTTTGCGTGTACATCAATTAATCTCAAAAGTAAAATAATTAAATATCTTTACTATTAAAGGGTCCTTGAAAGTGTTTAATAAACCAAGCTATTATACAAACATACCAAGTGTTCTATAGAGTCAATAATTGAGTATGTGAATTAATTTGTATGTATCTTAACTAATTTTGAGATCTTAAAATTAAAGACCAGATGGCTTATTAGAATAACTCAAACTTAAACTTCACATCAAATCTTTACACCGTCCCTTAATGTTTCTATAGACTCAATCTTTTAAGTAATTTATCATTAACAACTCAAACTTCTCTCTCTGTCTCTCTCTCTCTATTTGTTTTTATTTTATCAAATCAACTCAAAAATATTTGTAAAATACAAAAAGTTATCCACTTGATCCAACTTATAACACAAATGATATGTCCTTTTGACAATAAAAAATACATTTTTTTAAAAATCTAAATATTACTATTAAACATCTATGTAATATACTAGATATTAGACAATTCTGTTATGCTCATAAACCATCATATTTTGTGTGCAACTTTATTACATTGGAAATTTTTTGAACTGTAATTATTTTTACTAATATAAATATATAAACAAAATCGTTGTTTAGCTATCTTAATTAGGATTAAAAAAATAAAAAGAGGGGCAGTTTTTTTTTTTTTTTTTTTCTGGATCTGGGGATGTTGATGATGAAGATGTTGATAATGAAGATGTGCTGTGTTGATGAAGATGTTGATGATGAAGATGTGCTGTGTGATGAAGACATTGATGATTTTTTTTTTTTTCTAGATCTGGAGCTGAAAATGAAGGGGGGAAAAAATTGATGTTTTGTTTGATCTGGAGCTGATCTGGAGCTGAATGTGATGAAGAAATTGATGATTTTTTTTTTTTTTTTCTAGATCTGGAGCTAAAAATGAAAGGGGAAAAATTGATATTTTGTTTGATGTTTTGTTTGATCTGGAGCTGAACAAGAGAAGACATTGATGTTTTGTTTTTTTTTTTTTCTTCTTCTTCTTCTTCCTATTCTCTTTTCTTCTTCTTCTAGTTCTGGTCTGCTTCCTCTTCTTCTTCTTCTCTTGTTCTTGTTCTTCTTCTTCTTCCTGCAAGAAAGAAAAAAAAAATTGTTGATGAACAAATTTTTTTTTTGTTGATGTTGATGATCTGGATCTGCAGCTCTTTTCTTCTTCTTCTTCTTCTTCTTCTTCTGTTTTTTCTTCATCTTCGACTTCCAAAAAACGAGAATGAAAAAAAAAAAAAAAATTCTCCAAAATGACGTCATTTTGGATTCGAGCCAATTTCGAGTTCGACAGTTTCAAGCTACGTAGCAGTTCCGAAAGATAAAATATGCTAAATGAATCAATAAGACAAAATATCACATTCAAATCATAATCATTTCACTTTTTCTTTCATAGAAGTCAAAAAAATCAAGAAACTTTGCCAAACGTAAACTCCAAAAAGCCAACTAATTTTTTTTTTCTTGCCAAACAACAACAAAAAAACATCATAATATTTTAGAAAATTCTATATTTTATGACTTAATTATACATATATGGTATTAGTCATAATTTATTATGATATTAGCAATGATATTATTTTAAATATACTTTATATTATATTTTAGTATAACTTTTTTTTTATATATAGTTATAACTTTTAGGGTGCTGTTATGGTATGCAACCCCTTAAGGTTGCACACCATATGCAACCAACACAAAAGGTGTAAATGGAATGTGTAAACATAAAAAACAGGACAGTAAACAGAAAGACGTAAGTGTAAGGTGTAAGTTGCACACTTAAGAAAAGTCTTAACTTTTATATCATTATCCTAATATCTTTTTATGAAAATAATTTATTCCTACCAAAAAAAAAAGTATTTTTTTATAAATTCTGACAGATAAAAATTTAACAGTATAGAAAAAAAAATCCCACTTGGCTTTATATTGTATTTTTTTATAAGTGCATATAGACTCTTATCAATCAAAATTTATAAAAAAAAATGTTTTTATAAGAAACTTTTGTGAAATTGTGATCCATATTTGTCCATCGCGTCTCTCTCTCCACTTTCACTCATTTTCTCTCTTTACATCTATATATCGCATCTCCGAATTTCGATAAAGAAAAAGAAATAGAAAATGAATAATGCTAGAGGCCCTAAATAATTTATCAAATATTTTGTCAAATCTCTTACATGGGTGTAGGACCCATACACATGTGGTTTTGTGTAGGTCCCACACCCATGTGAGAGATTTAGTAAAACATTTGATAGATTGTTTAGGACCTAGCACTTTTCATAGAAAAGAGTAATGTTAGAGGCCCCAAATAATCTACCACACACTAACTTGAAGAGGACTGCTGCAGACTCCCAGTGGGGTCGCACCCCAGTGAGGTGGCGAGCCCCCACTAGCCGAAACTCAAAAAAAAAAAATAAAAAAAAATAAAACAATTTTTTTTTCATCCAATCACAGCACCTCCCCTCACTGGGGGTCGACCCCAGTGAGGTCCGAAGCATTTTTCCTAGGAAAATGAGTGAGAGTACTAATTAGTGCTACCACTAATGATGTGGCAGTAGGCCCCATCATGAATGATTTGATGTTTTGACCTTGGTGTTGTATTTTTTTTTTTATTGAGTGTCATGTCATTAGTGGTCTTTTTAGAGTTCCAAAATTAATGGTCTATCGTTGTTGTTTTTCCTAACTCGAATTCCACCCCAACCAATTTTCTCAAAACCCTAATCGCCTCGGATCATGTAATTAATCCGAATTCGAATCTGGGTTTTGGTGGATTCGATTTGGAGACCCGAGAGAGCGAGAGAGGGATCATGACTCGGCGGTGTTCGTATTGCAGCCACAATGGCCACAACTCTCGGACCTGCCCGAACCCTGGAGTCAAGCTATTCGGAGTCCGGTTGACTGCTGGATCGATCCGGAAGAGTGCCAGTATGGGTAACTTGACCCATGACACCGGATCCAGTAGCGGTAACCTTCAAAATGGCCTCGCCGGAAACAACCATGACTCTCCCGGAGATACGCCAGACCACGGCGCCGCCGCCGGAGATGGGCATGCCTCGGAGGATTTTTGTTTCCGGGTCGTCGTCCAGTCGGGAAAGAAAGAAAGGTTCGAACTTTGTTTGGTTAATTTATGGGTTCAGCGGTTTTAATTTTGAAGTTCTGCATCTACAAAGTTTTATTTTGTTTATCTTTGTTTGGTGATAATTGTGAAGAATCGAATTCGAAATTGAATGAATGAGTCAATACTATTTATTTTTTAGTTGTTTACTAAGAATGAAGGGTTTAAGCAGAGAAATGATGAGTTTATTTGATTTGGGTTGATGGTTTTCTATGTGGATTTGAGTGATTGATGAGATATAATAAAAATTATGAAAAAGAGCTCGTATTTGGTTTACAAATTGAATAAGAAATTATGAGAAATGGAAATAAAGAGAATTTGCTTGTTCAAGCATGATGATTTGTGAGAAAATACCGTCATTTCTTATCTCTTTTTCACTCAAATGAGAGATCACAATGATTTATTTTCTTTTTTCACATAGCTCAAACTAATAATGAACATAAAATTCAGAACTTAGAATTATTTTTTTCATCAATAATTTCTTAGGAACCAACCTTGGATTAGTTACTCAGTTTTGCTCGGATGCATGCTGTGAAGCATAGACAGGGACACGGGACATAGATATGACACGGATACGTCATCACAAAAAATTTCAAAAGGGTAGGACACCGGCATGCAAGGTTTTAAAAAGCGGCCGCAACCGTTACGTAACGGTTTTGGCGGTTACCACCACCCGTTACGGCCGCTTTTGCAGTGTGATTGAGATTCACAGGTGTGTCGGCCGTAACGGCTGCCGTAGCGGTCGTAATGGTGCCATAACGGCCTGATACACACCGTTACGTAACGGTTCTAAACAGTTTCTTTCGAAAAAACACAAAAAAAAAAAAGTTGAAAATAGAGGAAGAGGGATAGAGGGAAGAGGGAAGATAAAGAGAGAAAATGGAGGAGCAAGAGATAGAGAGAGAGAAGAGAGAAGATGAAGAACATGTTATTGATTTGTTGAAGCTGTAAAACCTATGCTATTCTATTCAGCTGCTATCACTAAACCATTTTGTTTGTGTGTGTCTATCTATATATTGTTTGAAAATAATAATACTAATAAGTGTGGTCATTATCTATTTGGCTTGGTTAAAATATGTATATATATATATTTAGGTTCTTATTTATTCTCTTACTTTTGTCATTATTTATCTTATATATAATAGTTAGTGATTGATTTTTTGTATAATATGAAGCCATTAATTATTAAAATAAAATGTAAAAAACTCAATTTATAGTGATTTAAAAATATGAAATATATTGGATCATACTTAAAAATTTATAAAAATTGATCAATATTTATTTTTAACCCAATAAATATGATCATGGAAAAAAAATATGCGTATCGGTAAGTTTTTTTCAAATTGTGCGAAAAATAAAAAAATTCACGGTTCCGGTTACCGCAACCGTTACACTACGGCCTTTACACCCCGCAACCGCAACCGCGTCACCGCCACCGTTACGGCGACCGCAACCGCTTTTCAGAACCTTGG